TCTCTAGTACTGGTGCCTCGACCTAGCTCATCGATTAGGACTCTACTTTCTGTCAGCAATGATATGGCACCCACTCATGGATCGGTCTCCTACAAGCTACGTCGATCAACATTGCGTAGGATGAATGCAATCTCTTTCATTTCCGCGGCAAAGGTGGAAACATTAGTTTCAATATTGTCATCCATGCCCAGTCTAGCGAACAGCTGATGCAGAATAGGAAATGAGGCATAGTTAGCAGGAACGCTGCAAGCAGTTAGTCCACAGAGATTCAGAGTTTGTAATCCAATCAAACGTACTAGCAGCCGATCTGAGCCATGATTGTCATCAAAGCCACGGATCGGATATAAGTGCTCTTGCCACTCATGTTGCAACCAGTGATGATCTGGAACCGCGTCTGTTGTGTAGCATAGACATCGTTGGGGACACATTTGCTCTTCATGATTTTCTCCTTGATCGGGTGTCTTCCGGCCTCGATTGCAAGCGTATCGGTGAGCTGCGGCTGAGCTGAGGAGATGTCAGCCTGGCTTACGTTGAGCGCCATGGAACGGATGCTACCCACTGTAGTTATTCACTGTGACCAGATGAGCGAAGGCCGCAATCTAATCTCGGTCAGCCTCATCAACATGACAGACAGTCGAAGCATAGTCACCATGTCTAGCATCGCGACTGCTTCACAGATCTTGAACAAGATAGACATATGACTGCGGACCTCATCGATGAGAGCCTCGACCGCTTCATCGCCTGATGAGGGTTAGTAAACAGGAGCATCGTCGTTTCAAGTTTAATTGTACTCATGAGGATGACTTCTTGGTGCGACATGGCGATCTGATAGTGGTCAGCAAAGCCCGAATCACTGCATGTAGCCACATGCCTTCTGATTACGCTTCATCAATTCTAAAGTCTGGCATTCGATGTTGTTCTTGCGGCGAATGATGTTGGTGAATATCGGCGGTAGTGCTTTGCCTTCCAGCTCGGTTGTTGCGATCTTTATGTAGAACTGGCGTGCCGTATCGTACTTGAGGTCTAGCCGAATATCGCACTCCTCTTCACGAAGTTAGTGAGCAGGTCTACTGAAAACAATGAATTGTATCTCACGACTGAGCTCTGTTGAATGCTGGTACGCATCTTCAGTAGCTTCTTTGTAAGTCGTACGCGCAACATCAAGCAGCCCATTCACACCAGATTTCACGGCATAAGTGCGCTGGTTCCTGAGTTCCAAAGGCTGCCTTGCATATGTGGTGTCCTCGTTGATGACACGGTCGATAAGTTCCTGGACAGGTGCGACGTTCTCTGGGGCACATATCTCGCGGATGTTGTTCAACATGACAGATGCAGTTCCAGTAAGGGCTTCGAACACCGGGCTTACGGAGTTGACAAATTGCTTGAGCATAATGACGTGATTAATGGATTGCTCCGTTGTCTGCAGAGTGGTCTTGCTTGGAGCGACAATCAGCGCAGTCAGTATGCGGTCGGCATCGAGGAAGTCCTTCAGCGCTGCCCGGGTTGCGAAGAACAACTCTTCCTTTTTGGTCATATCGTCGACTGCAGCATACCGTGTGTTGAGTACCTCTGGCTCCGTGAGTGGCTGTAAGACGTTGCTCCGAAGAAGGCGTGCTCCCATGGGCGTCAATGTCTCGTTGAGAAGACCAAATAGGCAATCTCTTGACTTCGGATCGCGGAGATTCTGAACCAGTTCAAGCGAGTAAATGGTAGACACGTCGATCATCATCGATCCTTCAGATGGCTCGTATCTCATGCGAAGAGAGTGAGCGGAGAAAACCATACCTAAGCCCAGATCAATGTACTTGAGTGCCTATGAATTTGGTTATGAATAGCACTCAAAAGTCAAACAAAGGACTCACTGCTGCGATGCAGCACACCGCATAGTAGTTGCCAGTGACGGAAATCTTGATTGCTTCGACGTCCTCTCTGAACGCTAAAGACTGAATGTACTCATATCCGGTTGACTCAGCCCAGTAGCGGCGATCAAGCAGGGTCAGCTTACTTCCAATGTCTTCGAGGTTTTCTTCAACGATCGAGAAGAGCTTTGATTTAGGGCTCGCCGCAGTAGACACGATCAGAATCTCGGATGGACCGTAGACCTTTAGTTTGTGAACTGTTCGAACGAAGGTTTGACTATCGCAGATTTGACAGAGTACTGCTTCTGCAGTGTCAAGATTCACGAAAGCCAAGCCAACAGTGGGTGAGATACCACGAGACTCGGCAATGGCACAGACAACGTTCTGAGCCTCGACCCTAGCGATAGTAGAGGCCCCAGTCCTCGGTCGCGCAGTTGAGGGTCTGCCTGTGTTCCTGCGAGTGCCTGGTCGGGACGTAGTAGTCGTGTTGTAGTCACCGTATCCGTAGTACCCATACGATGTAGATCCGGAGTTGCTCTGCGAGGTTGAAGGCCTGGATCGTTGGAACATGATGGTCAGCGCTGCGAGATTAGCCGTTGAGCAATTGGGGACGTCACCAACTCCAGCTCTGGAGCGGGTTGAAGGCGTGTGAGCGAATGACGAGATGGAAGGAAGAAGACGCGTCGAGGGAACGGCTTAGCGCGCCGCCCCACTATTTCATGGCTGCTAGCGCGTCTGTTATCGATAACGCCCAGAAATTATTTTCCCTTCTTACGGTAGCAGCGGGGCCTTCGCAAGTAAGAAACAGCTCTGCCACGCTGGTAACTAACTCGAAAATCGTACTGCAGGATATCTAAGCTATGGCGACCCAGTATCCGCCCCCTTCAAAGCGCCAGAAGCGCGCGCAAGCCGAATTTGCGCGCGAGCAACAAGACATCGACACTACTATACCTGATGGCACTGTACGGGTGCGCTTCGTCGATCAAGCCACTGGCGAAAGTGGGAGTCTCCCAGTACTCACCGTACCGCTATCGCAAGCATCCACCAAGAACCTCGAACTCTTGCTCAACAACCTCAAAGACCAAGCCGACGATCAGATACCGTACCGCTTCTTCCCAGACGGCGCGACCGAAGCGCTTGCCGACAAGGACGACCTATACAATGCCTTGGTCAAGCCTGGCAAAGCGTCGGCAGAAAACGAGATCGTGCTCCAGTATGCGCCGCAGGCAGTCTTCCGCGTCAAGGCAGTCTCGCGTTGCTCAGCCGCGGTTTCGGGTCACGGAGATAACATTCTGTCAGTGAACTTTTCGCCAGTCAGCTCCAGCAGGATGGCAAGTGGTAGCGGAGACAAGACAGTGAGGATATGGGACTGCGACACAGGAACGCCAGTGCATACTATGAAGGGGCACTCAAGATGGGTCCTTGCAGTCAGCTACTCACCTGATGGCTCTCTACTTGCTTCCGGTGGCTACGACAACGAAGTGCGGATATGGGACCCGAGCACTGGGAAACAGATCGGGAGTGCTCTCAAAGGTCACACCAGTTTCATCACGTCACTCTCTTGGGAGCCCTACCATCTGCAAGAGCCTGGTCGGCCGCGAGTTGCGTCGTCATCAAAGGACGGTACAGTAAGAGTCTGGGATGCGGTTGGCGGCAGAATCGACTACGCCTTGTCCGGTCACAAGAGCAATGTGACGTGCGTGAAGTGGGGTGGTACTGGACGGATATATACCGCCTCTCATGACAAGTCCATAAAGGTCTGGGACGCGGCGACAGGTACACTCGTGAACACGCTATCTGGCCATGCGCATTGGGTCAACCACCTCGCTCTTTCTACCGACTTTGTCCTGCGCACCTCGTATCACGACCACACGCGGAAGGTACCGTCTAGCCCGGAGGAGAAGCTCGCAAAAGCCAAAGCGCGCTTTGAGAAGGCCGCTACCATCAACGGCGAAGTAGTAGAACGCTTAGCGACTGCTTCGGAAGATTGCACCATCATCTTATGGACGCCTTTGACCAGTACGAAGCCAGTCACCAGAATGACAGGCCATCAAAAGCAGATCAACCAGGTCACTTTCTCCCCAGACGGTGCCCTCCTGGCGTCTGCAGCATGGGACAACCACGTCAAACTATGGTCGGCACGAGATGGAAAGTTCCTCAACACATTGAGAGCGCACGTTGGGCCGGTATACATGACCTGCTTCTCCGCCGACAGCCGACTGTTGGCGAGTTGCAGCAAAGACACGACCCTGAAGGTGTGGGACATGAGGACTGGTAAACTAAAGGAGGACCTGCCAGGGCACAAGGACCAGGTATTTGCGCTGGATTGGAGTCCGGATGGTGAAAGGGTAGGAAGTGGTGGCGCCGACAAGCAAGTGCGGATATGGAGCAATTGATCGAGACGTGGTCACAATAGCATAGTAGAAGTTAAAATGATACCCTTGGTGCGAGCATGTCACTTGTGTCTCCTTCATGGTCTGCAGTGGTTACACTGACGACTTGAAGTGCGTTGGCTAGGGACTAAGCGTAAGCTTCGACGTCTAGAAGCCTTGGAAGTAGGAATCTGTACACATTTGAAGCATGCTAGAAGCTGCAAGTGAGGCTTGAGCGGAGGCTAAGGTAGAGTCGTGCGGTAAACCGCCAGGATCGCCCGGCTCTCGGCACCCCCGCAAAATAATGTTGCCGATTGCGGCGGTGGTGGCTGGTGGCAGTGGCCTGACGAACGCGTAAGTGCGGGCAGCTGTGACGTCACCGCCAGAAAGCACCACCAGCAGACCATCACCTGGGCATGCACGGGCATCATGCGGGGCCAGTCTTCATCCCGGATCCTCGGCGCTGCAAGTGCAGGCGCTTCAAGGCCAGCGCGCCAAGTGGATCATGCAAGACGGGCTTTTCCCATGTCGCTTGCTTGTACCTACGTCAATTGCGATCAGAGCAGAACATTCCCTGTCTTAGCGCTTTTCCTGTTTCCACTGCCAATGCGACAGGTTTCGCAAGCTTTCCCACGACTCACGATCTCACACGACTAATGAATTCACGACTGTACACTACCTCCAACCACTAATTGGCCGGGTCCGCCACTCGCTGCTCATCGAATCACCTTTACCACTACCGACACAACCCAGTCCGCGGTGCTTCATCATGTCCGGTGTCGAGGACGTAGAGGCCCGACGTAAGAACTACCGGCGGCCACATAACGCCCATAACCCGATACCTACGGTCCAGAAATACAGGGAGGAGAAGCAAAAGAGACAAGACGAGTACGGTCATCCAGATGGCAGTAACGAACCGAGCACACGCGACCGGCTAGGGGACGCCGTCAACGTCTTCAGACATGGAAGAGACGTCGAGTTGGACAACGACGGCAATGGGCCATACCCAGTCAGGAACAAGAACATCGAGCAGGACGAGCCACTTGCAGACGACCACGCCGGAAAGAACACACCCGAACAGAAGGACCAGAATCTGGCCAAAGACCAAGGCGACGAAGATGGACTCGAGGATACGACAGAGGACGGATTAACATCGTCAGATCCCAAGCAGGCCCGGAAGGATATGAAGAAGTTCAAAGCCGACGGTGCAGATCGCGAAGTCACCGATCCCATCACCCATCTACCCATCAAGATTCACGACTATACCGATCGCGAGCTGAAGAGCACCGCAAAGAACCCGAGCGCTGCAGGGTCCGACCCACGTACAATGACCGGTAAAGACGCCATCAACAAGAGCGACGAACATCTCGAATACGAAGGACAAGAATCGCAGGACGCTCATACGGGTATGCAAGTCTTGTTTCCACCTCCGTCGTTTGACAGGACCCGAGGTGAGATTACAACTGTCTACATGCAGGCTGTGACTGTTGGCGTGGGAGCAGCTGCGGTTAGCTTGATGCTGGTCAACACATTGTTTTGGCCGACGCGTCATGCGACGGGCTGGGGGAGACAGGCATGGAAGGCCGCTGAACTTAGTGTCATGGCACTCGTCTCCACAGCTATCATACTCTTCATGCGACAGTGGTCAGAAAACAAGATCAAGAATGTCTGGGATGTCGAGGTTTGGCAGGCGGAGCGACAAAAGGGCCAGAGACTGGCCAAGACCCAAACTGCGGAAAGTACACAATGGCTCAATTCGTTGATGGCTTCAATATGGCCGTTGATCAATCCGGATCTATTCGCCAGCATTTCAGACACACTTGAGGTACGTAATCGACAGTAGATCAAGTATAGACACTAACTTTTATAGGATGTCATGCAAGCCTCTCTTCCGAGTATGGTTCGCATGGTGGCTGTCGAAGATCTTGGCCAAGGTAGTGAGGCCCTCCGCATCCTCGGCGTTCGATGGCTTCCAACAGGCGGGGCTGCTAGATCAGTGGGCTCCGATGGAAACCTAAAGTCTCCGGATGAGGAAAAAGGTGACCGGACTGTCGAAACAAGTGATGACGATGGCGACGGCCAAGACGACGAACAACAAGACGACATGCAAGCAGAAGACGGAGACTTCGTCAACGTTGAACTTGCATTCGCATACAGGCCATCCACGGGAAAGGGTATCAAATCGCGGGCCAAACATGCCCATATACTCTTGGCGTTCTACATGCCAGGTAACTTCAAAATACGTAAGTCTGACCTTCTCATTAAGCGCTCAATTGCTTACGTGTTTTAGCTGTTTGGGTCGACCTCGCGGGCATTGTTGGTGTTATGCGCTTCCGTCTACAGCTGTGCCCTGATCCTCCGTTCTTCTCAATTTGCACCATGTCATTCATGGGGCAACCCAAGGTCACTCTCTCGTGCGTGCCGCTTATAAAGAAGGGCCCGAACCTCATGGACGTACCTTTGATCTCCAGCTTCGTGCAGTCGTCCATGGATGCAGCACTGGCTGAGTATGTCGCGCCTAAATCTTTGACTTTAGACCTCAAGGACATGATGATGGGCGACGACTTCAAAAAGGATACTATTACACAGGGAGTTATCATGGTGCGCATCAAGTATGCGTTTGACTTCAAACACGGCGATACCAAGATCGGTCCTTTTGGAGGCTCTGCAGATCCCTACGTGAGCGTGGGATGGGCCAAATTCGGAAAGCCGTTGTGGTCGACGCGTGTTCTCCAGGATAACATGAATCCACACTGGGATGAGCACTGCTTCGTCTGCGTCACCTTTGACCAGCTGAATGTAGACGAGAAACTGAGGCTACAGTTGTGGGATTCTGACCGTTCAACTGCTGATGACGACCTGGGACGTATCGAGGTAGACCTCAAAGAGTTGATGAAGAGCGACGATACCAACGGCAAGATGCACGATCGCGAGGACGGTTTCAGAGCCCTCAAACGCGGGGATGAGATGCCGGGAAAGCTGAGCTGGAGCCTGGGTTACTTCTCGAAAACCCGGATAACTGATGATCAGCTTGCTATGCAAGATGAGGACCCCGATGTCAAGAATATTGACCAGCTGAAGAAGAAGATGTACAAGGAGGCAGAGAGCAAACTTCGAGAGGCAAGTGAGGACCATCGCGATGAAGTGGAACAGCAAAAGTCCGAGGAGTTCAAAGCTCGGCAAGACCAGCTCATCATTGCGTCCCCGCCTTCCGAAGACTACCCGTCGGGTATACTCAGTATCCAGATCCACCAAATCACGGGCTTGGAATTGGAGACATTAAACAAGCAGAAAGACTCTGCAAATGCGGAGGCAACCGACGAAGAGGAAGAAGGCGACGGCTTACCTTCTTCATACTGCACCATTATCCTCAACCACAAGAAGATCTTCAAAACACGTACCAAGCCAAAGAACTCGAAACCGTTCTTCAACGCTGGCTGCGAGCGCTTCATCCGGGATGTTCGCAATACTGAAGTACACGTTGCTGTTCGGGATGCTCGCATACACGAAGACGACGCCTTGCTTGGAATCGTCTACCTGCCTCTAGAAAGGGTATTCCAAAAGCGCAGTCAGATCAATCACATGTTCCCACTCGCTGGAGGAGTTGGATATGGTCGGGTCAGAATCTCCATGGTCTTCCGAAGCGTGCAAGTCGAACTACCACGAAGCATGCTTGGTTGGGATTACGGCACCGTGGACATCAATCCCCGCATAAAGGCCCTTGACGTTCCAGAACATCTGCAGCCTCTTCGACTCAAGGTTCGTACTCCACTGGAACGTGCAAAATTACATTCGCGGGGGCGTAATGGCAAAGTTCACTCGGAGGATGGCTCGACTATCTGGACTACAAAGAAGGACAAATCCATTCGCTTACCTGTGCGGGCGCGCTACTGTGCGCCATTGGTATTCGAATTCCGACAAGATGCCACATTCCGAGACCACACACCAGGTTTTGGTATCCTTTGGCTTAAGGATGTTCCCGACAACGAGGAACAGACAGTACGCATCCCCATCTGGAGTGGCGACTTGAAGCGCGCAGAAAACAATGTGCTTGAAACATATGGCGAGAAAGTTGGCGAGATCGAAGTAACATTGACGTTCTGGTCCGGCCTATCAGGATACCACGAAAAGCTTGCAAAGGGCGACAAGCACATCTCCAACGTTATGGAAGTTCTCGAAGTTACCAACGACCATGAGTGGACCGACTGGGACGATTCGTCAGGCTCCGACAAGCCCGGCATCAACGACAACAAAGAGACTGACAACGACAGCTCATCCTCCGACAGCTCGGATTCTGAGGACGACGGCGACGATCCCGATAAGAAGAAATTTGTCCCAGACTTCCTTCAGGATGGCGGTAAAAGGATCGACTCAAAGCTGAGTACAGATGGCACCAGCGGTCCTATCAGTAAGATAAAGGACTACAGGGAGAGTGCACACGCTCTGCATCGGAAAAATAGGGGCATGATGCAATGGAAGGGCCCGAGGACTTTGGCATGGATGAAGCATGTTGGTGATCGTGGAAAGAAGAAGGTTGGAAACATGTTCCATCATCATGAGAGGGATGGAGCGGGTGTTGAGACGGAGGCTTGAGCGAAGTTATAACATAGCGTGCGCGTCTGGAGTTGAAACATGGGATGTATTACACCGGTAGTGTTCGTTTAAACTGCAAGTCTACGTTGACTTGCTAGCAATCCAATCTTGAATCTCCACAAAGTCTCTCGCCCATACAACTCCCCACTCATCAGCCTCTTTGTAGTCGCTCAAATGCAGACATGAGACCCCCAGCCTCGTCAACGATTCTGCGAGTTTCCTTTGTGAGCTCCCCATGGGTTCATCTCGGATACAAATCCCCAAGTCAGCTGCGAGCAAGCATTCGATGTCTGTCCAGCTATCACCCACGTACACGGTTTGGCCTTTGAATTGGATGTGCTTCATCTTCTCCAGCTTATCGCCGCTCGACATGATGATACGTGCGTCATCATGGATAGTCGAGATGATTATACCGGTGGATGGCTCTCCAGCCTCAATGTTATCCAGTTCATTCGCCATGACGGAAGAGGTAGGCACATCAACGATATCCGCTGCACCCAGGCAAGACTGGATGAATGTGCGAGACCAGTTGACACTGAGAAGCATGAATCCATCCTTCTTGCGGTCGTGCTGGATATGTCTGAAGAAACCCTCGAACCCAGTTCGTAGCTCTACAGCACGTGAATGTACAGCTTGTTTTGCGCCGGCGTCGATCGCATCTCTTGTCAAGCCAGCAAAAATACCGGAAGAAGATACGCGATCAAGACTGCGTTGTTCCACAGCTCTCATTTGGGCGAGGAGGTGTTTCTCTGCCGAGACTGTGCTGGGTAGTGTACCATTAGGAGCGAGTTGGGCCAGGGTAGCCGTGTAGTCGTCCATGTATGCCTTCGATACACTGTTCCAGTGGTCATGGGTAGGGAAGTTTGGTTTTGTGGCGGCGGATATGTTGACGAGGGCATCTAGTGTATCTTTCTTGGTGATGGTGCCATCCCAGTCGAGGATCCAGTAAATTGGGGAAGACTTGTTGAGTGGTGGTTTGGTAGACATGGTGGTGTATCGTGCGAAGCTGGATGGACTCGTATTTCGTAATGGTTGGAATGTAGCAAATAGGGCTAGTGTGCGACTGACCATATGTGAAGACAAACGGCGCAATCTTTGTATTCGCAAGGCTGACTTTCGTGTTGGCTATCGTTGCCGTACAGCAATCTAGGCTTTAGCTATGACGCCAGTCTCGCCTTGGGCAGTCAGTCCCCACTGCTGCACCCAGCACCTGCGACGAGTGCGCGATGCATACATGAGTGAAGTCAGAACCCTTAGGCGGTCGGCGCAGACACGTACGAACTGTCAAGGCTATTGCACTACGAAAGAAACAGAGGCTATCGCAGCCGATGTCGTGATGGTGGTGTCGGAGCTTGCCATGCTGTGATTGCTCGAACAGGCGGGAAAATGGCGCAACGCGTCGAGACACGAAGACGAACAGGTAACTTTTACCGGCAACACGCGCCATGCCTATCATCATCGCCAAACCTCATCACCAAACACAGCCTCTTGCAGTTTGCGCATTCCCACGACTCCCTCGCATGCCAGCTGGCGTGTTCGCAGCAATCCAGCGCGCCATGCCCGTCCCGCCGTCACGAGCCAATGGCAGCGGCGCTATATGCATAACCCGCAGTCAGCCGAGGGCGCTCGTTGGTCGCGTTCCTCTAAAGGCATCTTGAGGCGATAACACCAGTTGCTCTTACGAAGACTGTCTCCTAAGTACAGTTGGAGGCGATCCACGGCACAGCCCTCAACCAAGGAACAAAATAAGAAGCCCGCCGCCGCTGCCTCCGTCTCTTGCATCCTCAACTCACGCCCCAGCGCAGCAACCATCCCCTTCCCCACTACCCCACGTTAGCATCACCACCGTCCACCACCATGGCTCCTGGCGCAATTCAGAACGACACGGCGGCGGCAAATGGCAACAGCACCACGCTGAAGCCCACTGCCCGCTCCTTCCACCCCACAGGCACCCCAGATCCCTCCAAGTACCACTCGGCGTCGTCGCAAGATGCCATCAAGACCGAGGCCGACTTCGCTGCGCACAACTACCACCCACTCCCCATTGGTATGCAACCATGGAGTTACGGCTGGAATGCATGACTAACACAGGCTAGTCTTTTCAAGAGCAAGTGGTTGCAGCGTCTGGGACCCCGAGGGCAAGCACTACCTCGACTTCCTCTCCGCCTACAGCGCCGTCAACCAGGGTCACTGCCACCCCGAGCTTGTCAAGGCCCTCACTGAGCAAGCCTCGCGGTTGACTCTGAGCAGTCGCGCTTTCTACAACGATGTGTTCCCGCGCTTTGCAGAGTATGCCACCAAGCTGTTCGGCTTCGACATGATCCTTCCCATGAACACTGGCGCCGAGGCGGTTGAGACGGCCGTTAAGGTCGCGCGCAAATGGGGATACAAAGTCAAGGGTATCCCGCAGAACGAGGCGCTGGTCTTCTCGGTAGAGGAGAATTTCCACGGACGGACAGTATGCATGCCTGCCCCATCTTTCCAAACTAGCTAACATGTTGGTAGTTTGCCGCCATTACCATGTCCACTGACCCCGAATCTCGCGACAACTACGGCCCGTACCTCCCTGGTATTGGAAGCGCGTGCCCCGCCACTGGCAAACCACTCCGTTACAACAATGTCGACGATGTGCGGGAAGCCTTCGAGAAGCATGGAAAGAACCTAGCTGCTTTCCTGGTCGAGCCCATTCAGGGTGAAGCGGGTATCGTGGTGCCAGATGACAGCTACCTGCGGGAAGTGAGGGCACTCTGCGATAAGCACAACGTCCTGCTCATCTGCGACGAGATCCAAACGGGTATTGCGCGGACAGGCAAGATGCTCTGCCATGAGTGGAGTGGCATCAAGCCTGATTTGGTCCTGCTGGGCAAGGCCATCTCAGGTGGCATGTACCCTGTCTCGTGCGTTCTCGGCTCCAAAGAAGTCATGCTTACCATTGAACCTGGTACTCATGGTTCGACGTACGGCGGCAACCCTCTCGGCTCTGCCGTCGCGGTCCGGGCTCTTGAGCTCATCGAAGAGGAGAACATGGTTGAGCGCGCTGAGACACTAGGCAACAAGTTCCGAGAAGGCCTCAAGAATATCAACAGCCCCATGATCAAGATCATTCGTGGAAAGGGCCTCTTGAACGCAATTGTCATCGACGAAAGCAAGACAAACGGACACAGCGCGTGGGATCTCTGCATGCTCTGCAAAGAGAAGGGATTACTGGTAGGAAGAGCCCTCAAGATTATGCATGTGAAAGAGGTTGATGGTGCTGACTCTGATGGACAGGCGAAACCCACACACCAAAACATTATTCGCCTTGCGCCGCCGCTTGTTATCACGGAGCAGGAGATTGAATCGGCTCTGTCGATTCTCAAGGAGGCTATGGAAGAGCTGCCAAACCTCAAGGGCGAGAAGGAGAAGGAAGTGCTCACTTCCGCGGTTGGACTGGAGAAGAACGTCCACATAGGAGTGGATAACTAGGAACATTGTCAGTTCCTTGCGATACCCCGTACGACTGACTTGAAGCTATGACTGTTGTAGACTTGTAAATAGGTCATCCTTCGCTGCCCCGCCATCGTATGTATGGCTATGAGGACGAGGCCCGGCGTTCAGAAGGTTCTGAAGCATCCGGCGCACCGCACCTCTCAATAACAATGGCATGATCTTGCCGTTCATCGGTCGCTTTTTCGCTTTTGAATTGGCTACGTATCTCCCAATGTGACCATCGTGACTGTTGATTGTACAACCCCTCTTCAACAGTATTGACCCTCGTGTTCGTGGTTAGTGCTGATTGCGGCGTGCGACGCCTTGTTGTCGAGTGAGGCACAAGAATAACCTTCCCCAGGGTGTGGCAATGAGACTTCGATTGTATGCGCGAGGCATGACGCTTGCAACGAAGAACTGTTGCGATATTGCTGGCGCTTTGCTCGATGTAAAGCGATGTTCCTCCCTAGTCTGTCCCAAGATTGATACGCGACGTAACCGATAGCCATGACACAACCCAAAGTACCATCAAAGTCATTGCAATCGGATCATCACGAGACGAGCGCGCAAACAAGAACATGATAGCCATGACACAGCTTACATATTTGTGTGCTTACACATGTTCGGACCTTAATAACTCCCGACGTTGCTTACGGGCCGTTTCCAGCAAGAGGAGGTTTCCACATCGGACGCGACACTTCGGGCTTCATGACTACGTCGGAGATGTTTGGCCAATGGACGCACACGTGCGTAGCCCGAAGTGCACGTAATCCGATATGCATGCTCAGTGCAGTCAGACATCGTGCGCTGCATGCACTCTGACAGTCGCAAGATAGGTCTCATCTAGATGCGTTGTGGGTTACACACATCATATTGCTATATGGCGGATGCATGCTGCCAATCTGGAAGTCGCTTAGTTGTCGATCCGGTAGGTGGGCATCCGACAAGATGGGTAGTCAACAACAACGGGCCAACCTTTACACATGCCCGAATGCCGCTTCTCAACCAATACTGTAGTTACGGCCGCAGTGCGCCCAGCTGAAGGGAAACTTTGTCTGTGCAAACAGGTGACGGGCGCGACTAATCCACAGGTCGGCATGTCGGGTCTGGGCCAAAGCTTTTTGCCATCGTTTCATGCAGCGATGGCCCCACTGTTGCCCGATCATGGCTGCGTGTCCACACGCTCTTTACGACATCGAATCCGCGGAAGTTAATTTCTAAGCAGCTGTCAAGGAACTGTCAAAGCCGAGACACGGTTGTTGCGCGTGGATGATGGACGCCTGTTGCTGATGGCGCACTCGCGTCGCCAACATGCAGCATCGTGGAGCAGCTGAAGAGTAACATCAAGCCTTTCGGGTCATCGGGGCGAATTATGTACCGAGGGACTCGAACATTCCTGATGCTAACAGCCCCCGGATTATACATGCATCGGTTCGCGGAAGCCGTTCATTGGCGAAATTTTATCTCCGGTAAAGACCACGCGCTAAATGTTGAGCGGGTGCATGCACTGATTTCATGACTGCTCCGAGGCCATATAGACTAGTCGTTGCCTGCCACTCGCAAACATGTCGCCGCGTGAGTCCTGGCGTTAGTCGTTCTTTTCACCAACATCTAATATCCTCCCCAGCCCTGCGACTTCACGGTGACGTTCGACATCGGCTGCCAAACTTTGTTTCGGCCCTACACAACGATCACCGCGACCCTTCTTCGGCGTTCGGCATCCAGCCGCTGAACCACCGCCATGGCGAAGTCGCCATCAACGTCATCGTTGGATGAGAACGAGAAAGAGAAGGACTTTGGACTCGTGGATCCGCAGGCCGCAGCAGAGAATCCGACGGAGTACGAGCCAATACGTACCGAGCCAACGGAGAAGGATGTGGAAAAAACTGGAGATGGACACAGTGCAAGAGGCAGACTAGCGCGATTGCAGTCCAGTACAAGCGCATACTCGGAAGCCAGCGACAGTGAATCTAATGCGACAAGATCGATACGAAAGAGGAAGCCATTCTACAAACGCCTGAATTTCTTGAAGAATAATCCACCGCCAATCCCAAAGGAGCGCGATGTGTGCCCCGAATACACAGCAAGCTTCTTCAGCCGACTCTCATGGCAATGGATGCAACCCTTGATGAGAGTGGGCTACAAGCGGCCGTTGGAGAAGAACGACATCTGGAAGGTCAATCCTGACAGGAGTGCAGAGGTTTTGGCAACAAGGCTGGAAGAGGCTTTCAAGAGGCGGAGAGCAGAAGGCAAGGAGAGACCCCTGCTGGGTGCCATGTTCGACACATTCAAGTGGGAGTTCATCATCGGAGGCACATGTCAGCTGTCAGCATCCGTCATCCAAGCGGTCGCACCGTTCGTCTTACGTTATCTCATCAAATTTGCTGCTCGCGCTTACCTTGCGCAACGAACTGGAGCCCCGGCGCCAGACATTGGCGAGGGTATCGGCCTGGTCATTGGAATCACCGCGATGCAGTTCTTGCAGAGTTTGGCCACTAACCACTTCATGTACCGCGGTA